CAATTAATATAAACATGTAGTTCTATTTAGAATAGGAGCAAAGCAACACATGTCATTTATTATTTTTATAACTCTTAAACTATCAAACCTAAATTCCTAAAATTCTTACCATAGCATACACATAGCATCAGTAGACTACCATAAAAATTTCACATTTATTTGAGCACAATAACTGTAGTTATGAAAAAGACAAGACACAACTAGTATTAAAAATCTAACTGCATAAATTGATTTTTCAGCAAAAACTTTAAACTAAATCATATCATATTATAGATCTACTGCATAGATAATTTTACAAGGATTCTAAAAAGTCTGCATTTGCTATTTTTGGATTTTTCTACAGTTTGCTACAATTTTCCAAAATTCAGCTGATTATATGCATATAATGAAAAAGAAAAGGAAAATTCTTTTGCACTGGGGTCCCTGCAGAAAACATAAATTAAACATCAGCGAACAGGTCCTTCAGGCACTATTTAAATGAGTCTATGGTTTGCAGATCGACCCTCCCCTTTGTTCAAATTTCTGTGCGAAGCCCTTCACGCGGTCAGAACAGAGGAGCACGCCGGGGCTCACTATTGTCGGCCAGAGGAAGCTCGTAGGCGGCGATGGGGTGGCGGGGAAGGACCAGGGTAGTCGTGCGCACCCAGGGGAAAGCTCATCTCGGCCCGGGTTGGCCCGGCCACGCGCACAGGCGGCCACAGCGGGCAGCTGCACGGCGGCGGCGGAGCTACGATGGTGGAGAGAGTTGGGGAAAGGGCGCTGCGAGCTCGGCATGGCATGGCGAAGGTGGTGGCGCACGCGGTAGGACGCGAGGGAGCCCGGAGGCAGCGGGGACGCGGCGGCGGCGAGCTCGGCCAGCATGCCATGGCGGACGCGGCCGTGCTCTGCGCGCGAGTGCAACCGCCGGAGAGCGAGGAAAGGGATGTGGAGGGAGAGGCGAGTGAAGAGGAAGTGCCTGCCACCGCACCGACGTGAGGGGGAGGTAGGAGCGCGAGACACGCAGCAGGGCACGCGTCGACATGGTGGGGCGCGCAGCGGCCATGCACAGCGCCACGTCGGCATTCGGTCGAGCAGGTGGCGGGCGCCGGAGTGGACATGGTGGGAAGCTGATTTGGACCGCTTCCGGGCCGAATCCGATATTGGGCCAAAACGAAGTTTGTTCACCTCGGCATGCTCAACATTTTTCATTAAGGCACTCAGGTCATTAGAGCAACAAATCAGTGGGTAATTAATCTCCAAGATGATAGCGCCAACACGTTGATAACGGTCACGGAAACTCGCTTTCGGAGGTCAAAACTCGGTCAAACCCAATCCACCTTTTTGTATGCTCTTCTCCAATGAATTAGCTCCAACTTCTATTTTTGGATCAAGACAAGTTGCTTAGCAAAATTTGGAGAACGCGGAATGCCAATGTCGATGCTAAGTGAAACTCCCAGACTTAGAATATTTTTGGACTATGAAAACAGCAGCAAATTCAAAGTTTAAGCCTCAGTTTGACTTTCTTACAAGTTGATCTAGCTCTTGGTCCAAAAACAAAGTTTGTTCTACTCCACTCAAACTTCAACTTTTATTTAAGGTGCAACTTCATATCTGGTACATAAATCATTTCTTCATCTTGGTCAAGGCAGCATCTTGTTAACCCTAGAATCAGAGTTTTCGACCAATTGAGACCTTTTCTTGACATGTGCTCAACACGAACCCTTTATGACTTTTTGTTGTAGAGTTCAATTAGAGTCGTTTGGGCAAGGTAGTAAGGTTTGGTTGACGACCTATAATTCCATTGACTTAATAAAGCAATCCAAGAAAGATTATAACTTATCATTTCATGTGACTTCTTAGTTCCAAACTTCATGAAACTTTTTCACTGGTCAAGATGGATGCATGTTGATGTAATGTACATGAAATAAGCATGTTTAACCTTACTCTTGCATAATCTTAACAAGGGTCCACATGTAAGCAAAGGTGTGTTGTCCAAGTTTAAGTTGGAACTCACTCTTGTAGATTTGGTCTTGACACCTTCATCATCACTTAACATGTCATGTTTGAGCTCAAACCCATTGCTTAATCGGTGACAAACACCTGGGGTGTTACAAAAATCTTGATTCACAAAGGAAATCCAGCTTGTTTTCTTGAGCCGCTCCATAGACTACTAAAAGGTTCCATTTTAATTACTTGTTCGTCTTGTTCTCCTTACCCCATAAATTCATCTGTAACATAAACTCTCCCTAAACAAAGGAACCTACGTCAAAAAATTCAATGTTAATGCCCACTAGGATACCCCTAGATTTAGCAGCAGCATCATTCTACTTCCACAAGTAGTTCAACTGAGGATCGAATTTTTGAACGTTTACACAGCTTTTTGGGCGCTTAATGTAGAACTTGTTACACCAAACTAAAGTTGACCGTTAGAAATGTGAAGTTGTTGGGTATTACTAGAAGTCATTCATTGAGTTTCTCTTCTCGTCTCTTACAAGTACGCATTCATCGAGAACACAAACCTTGTGGTTTTACCGCCACTTCAGCCCTACAAAGGAATGCAAAACAGAGGAAAAGAAAAAACTACATGAATACAATGGATGTGTAGTAGCAAAACAGAGGAATGAAAAATGTTGGAAAAATTTACCAAAACATGTTTGGAATACAGGAATCCTAAACATAGGAACCTAGATTAATGTGGGTCCCACGAGTGGATAGCCATGTTTGACCCACCAAACTGCTGGTCCGAGAAGCTGCATGTGTATGCTACTGAGTACTGACATGTTTTGATGGCCAGCCAAACACTTCGTTTCCCTTCTCTCGCCTCGGTCTTCCACAAAACCACGGCTCAGGTGGATGCTTTTTTTCCCCGTGTTTTGTGAAGCAAGCGATTCCTTTCCTCTAGAACAGCTGGCTACTTTCCTCCATTCCAAACGGTGTATGATGTCAGCAAGACAAAAGAATTCCATTCCTTTGAAATTCCTGTAAAAAACCTCCAATCCAAATAGGCCAGTTTGTCGTCATTCAGTCATCTTGTGCTGTGTTCAAAATCCCGTTCATACTGAGATTCAGATGTGATAAGATCATAAACAAGAACCAAGGTCTATAAAACCTTTTCTTCATTTACGACGTTTAAGGTCTACTTTGTTTTCTTTGCAGTACTTTCACTGTTCCAAATTGTAAATCCTTCTACCTTAATTATGTCATTCCGATATTTGTAGATATATATTAAAAACGATAATGCTCGGGACTGGACGTCCGTCCGTTCGGACGCCGCTTTCCGGGCCTGCACGTACTGGCCCAACAGGCCTCCTTACTCTCTGCATCTCTCATCTTTTCTCTAAAAGATATTTCCCCATCGTTTTCGCCCATCGTGTGCGGCTTTGTGTCATATGCTCGTTGTTGCCGTCTTCCCCGTCGCGCACCCCATCTCGCACCGTCGGCTTCCCCATCCAGCGTTGCGCTCCATCCATGCCACGCTCCATCCCATGCCGCGCCCGCTCCAGCTCGTTGTGCGCCGCTCGCCCCGCTGCTGCGCATCGTGCCCCGTCCCCCGCGCGCGCCGAGGTGTTGTTGGGGTGCTGTTGACACCGCCATTCCCCACTAGAAGGTCGTGGCCGCTGTCGACGCCATGACCACCACGATGCACGAGCTCAGCAAGGAGATGTTGCGATGAAAGCGCATGTTGTAAGCATATGTTTCAGACGTTTCAGAGGTATGTTGCAATTATTTCATATGGATGTTGCAAAAATAGATTGGGGGATGTTGCACATGTTGCATTTATTGCAAGTATTTCAGAGTTATGTTGCAAGTGTTTTAGGTTTGTTCAAAATATTTCATATGTTCCAGACGTATGTTACAAGCGTTCTGATATGGATGTTGCATATGTTCCAGACATTATGTTGCAACAATATGTTTCAAATGTTTCAGTTGTTTCAGTCTTTTGTTGTGGTAAGTATTTTTATGTTGCAAGTTGCAAATGTTTTATCTGGATGTTGCATATGTTTCACACATATGTTGCAAGTGTATGTTCTAGATGTTTCACTGTTGCATACGTATGTTGTATTCAAGTGTTTCATATTACATATTTTTCATGTTGTTCGGAGGGTCAGGGGGCACGAGGAGTGATGGTGGCACAACGCGGGCACCGGGGAATAGGGCGCGGTGAGTTGGGGCCCGGCGGGTGGGGGGCGTGGCGCGCTCGGGGCCGACTGTCAGGGAACGGGCCGGTGGGTGGGGCGCATAGCGCGCCGGTGTCCTGCGGACGGGGCATGCTCGGGGCCAGTTGTCGGGGCGCAATGGGTGCATGGCGCAAGTGCAAGGTGGGGCGAACGGCCTTGAATCAAGGCAGATAGGGTTGGCTATGAGTGCAAGACGAGTCATACAGACATGTGGGCGCTACGATGAGACGGGATGCACGTGCGGGAATGAGAAAAATCAGCGGACAGGACCAGGCTGCGCGGCGTCCGTTCGGACGCTAGCATCTCCGATTAGAAAACTGTATATAAAAAAGTCAAAACGACTTGTTACAGTGGGAGTATAATAAGCATGCATTTTATATATAGTTATACCGTGATACATTCGTGTTTAGGCAGAATAAATTGTCAACTTTTGCAATGCTTGTTGAAATGCAATCGAGAAGGGTATATGACCCATGATATTTCTTTCTGTTTTCGTTCAAAAAAAAAACAGATAACCTTAAGATTGGGCAATTATAGTCAGAAATACACCAAGAGTATCGCTTGCCCATCTCTTCAACGATAGCAGCAGGGCTTGCCCATCTCTACAACGACAGCAGCAGGAAAGCTGGTATCCTCGCCCACCATGCATCCCCGTCTTCAGCTCAACACCAATAGCATCTCTATCGCTATATGTACATCCCCTCTCTGAAAATGTTGATTTAGCTGCGCTTGCCATCAACCAGCCACAGCCGCCATTCATTCACAGCTCGTTTGTAGCTTGATCAACTTGCTGAAATTTTGTCGCTGCTGCTGCCACCCACCTCATATGTTCAGCTTGCTGTCATGACATGCTATCTACCATCGTCACTCAAAGCTCGGTCTTTAGCTTGGTCGCCGGAGTTTGCTGGGTTCCTGCAGAGAACCCATGAAAACGGAGACCAAAGTCAGTGTGGAATTTCAATAACTTTCAGTCTGTACACAGCTCATGAACACAAATTCAAAGAACAGTTTAACACAATTTATGTCATTCAACGCGAGCTCATGAACAAGAGGTCTGCATGTCCAGACTCCAGAGCTGCCGCGAGCTCAGGGGGCCGCGTGATAAAGATGCTGGCCGGATTGCCAGACAGCGCTTGCTGTATGCCACTCAGCGCTGAGCAGGCACCGGTACATCAAGAAGCTGTCAATTATTTCTGGGCAAAAACAGATTCTGCCAGCCGTAATGCAGTACAGATATATCGTCAGGATGGAGAAGGGGGTCCCCAGGGTGTTTAATGATTCCTGAACGCTTTGCATGATTAGGCCTGTAGCTCCAATAGCTCCTGTCTCCACAACGCACTCTGCTTGGATCCAGGGCCGTAGCACAGATCGGTTGCCCAGATCCGAACGGTAGATCACCAGCTCTTATTACGCCTTTTCTTTGGTTTCTCTCATTGGTGCAGCAAGGGCAGTAGAATGGCAGATCTTGTGGTGTATCATTGTGGAAATGGCAGCATGAAAGTAATAGCTCACTTCATGCATTTGCTTAGCATAATTATAACACAAAAAAACCATAACCCCCGGCTGCAGATAGTGGCATTCAGTCTGAAGTAGTTTCCAGCTGGCTAGCTCCAACACGCAAAATTGGACACGAGAGACCGAGACAAGTAGTGGACAACTTACAGAAACTGTGGGCCCGTTCACAGTTGTACGAGTGGTCAGAAGGGCCCAAGGGACCAGATCTGCATCTACAGGCCTTATGCAGCCAAGCCCAAACAGAAAGACGGGGGCGATATGGTTTCTGGTTCTGGACATGCGTTTATTGGGTTCGGGCCATCAGCACCAACCGGTTGGGTCCGCCTGTGCCAGAGAGAACAGATCCACCAGACCAACACACCCATGGCCCCCTTAGCTTTACCACCCCCAAAGAATGGGGATGATGACAATAATGATTGAATAAACAAAATAAAAGGGGCCAAGATCCAGGAACGGCACTCTAATCTGGTAACCTTTCTAGCAAAGTCCTGGGCTCATGGTTTTTGCTAGTATGAAAAATAGCTAATGCTAAATAGTTCTGAAGCAGTGGACAGAATAGTTTTCCTCCCAAGAAGGGTGCAGCAATTCAAATTAGACATCTTCCATAAGCAAACAGAGGAGATTCTAGCTGGGATCTGTGGCTAGCTATCAAGTTTATTAGCTAACGCAAAACACTTGGTCACTGTAGCACCACATGCTTTTGTATGTTTTTTGCTCCAACTGTGTTTCTTCAATAATACAAACACCATTTGCTATCTGGGCCAATGTAACAGCAATGCTAGCATATTCAAGATTTGGTCAGGACTGTAAATAGCTTGCTATACTTCAGAAATTTCCCCTAGCTTGTAGAAACTATTCACCTCAAGTTTTGGGTAACAACACATAATTTAAAATTACCTATCTGTACATTTTCTTCTCAAGAGAGTGCTGGCAGGACAAAGTAAGAGACAAAAGTCATGGGCCAAGCCAGGCTGAGATATGTGAAGTAAGCGACAAACAACTAAATTCAGTCAGGAAGATATAGGACTGCGTGAAAGATTTACCAGAGCTTGTTAGATCATAGCCGAAGAGAGAAGGATTGGAGTTGCTAAAGACGGGAAGATGGCCGTCCCCCCGCTTTTCCCACTGTGAAGCCACTTGGTGTGGATGTGCTAAATCACCATGCCAGAACTGCTGTTGAAGTTGCATCAGCTGCCTTGCTCCATGAACACCCATTTCTGGCCAGGTTACCTGCTCCAAGTCGATTCCGTTCTTGCAGTTGAAGCCTGCTATCCTTCCACACTGTCAAAGTAGTAGTATAAACAATTAGCAGCTTGAAGATTAAAAAGGAACAAGCACTGAGTTTTCCATCAGCAAAATAACACACTTTAAACTGCATAAAGGATTGATTCGAGCCAAGGTGGGTATCCGATTTTCTTCCAAAGAATTTACTACCTCTGAAAGTAAGTGTGCATATTTGATACTCTTTAAACTTCAGCAAGTGTGCATACGCAACAGCAACAGCAGCTGTGGCTGTTAAACATCCACAGCGAACAGGCCCATTGTCAAGACTTTCTTGAAAGTAATATGTGGGCCAACCATGATACTCTAATGATGCATTTATCTACAAGAGCAAGCCTTTGATCATTAATGATATGGTTAGTTCAAACTATATCCTTCAATGTGAAATAACTTCAGGGCATCTGCAATCGACCTTGGTTCAGCTGTCTAATTACTAGCAGAGAGTTCTTTTTCTCTCTAAAGGAGAATCTAAAGTTGGGACCCCGGAGTAGTAATGGTAAACCAATAGGCTGCGAGGTAGACTTTCATCAAACTTCCCATTGGCAGAACTCAAAGAAGCTCTGGGAAATGGAAACCTCATTAATCAGAAAATGACACATTTTGCCATTTCTTCCCTGTATAACTAACTTTCTACCTGCACACATACATGTTACAGTGGTTTGGTTCCTTACAACAGCTGGGTTCAGTTCATACTAGCTGTTCCAACTTCCAACTACTCCCTCCGTCCCAAAAGGAATATAACTCTCATTCCCTGAGGAGTCAAATAATATCACATTTGACCAAATATATATAAAAATGAACTAATATTTATGATGCATAATAAGTAACATTAACTAAGCATGGAATATATTTTCATAATAAATATATTTGAAAATTTAAATGTTGATATATTTTTTTCCTATAAATCTAGTCAAACTTTAAGATTTTTTGACTCGTCGAGAAACAAGATTTCCATTATTTTTGGAACGGAGGGAGTAGGCTAGAACCAGAAAGAACAGCACCCAACTTGGCTAGATCCCGAAATAACAGCAGCATATTTGAGTATGCATGACGTATCCTGCTAGTTTTAACAGAGGTTCTGCAGAAACCAAGCTATTCAGATAGAAAACTTTTCAAAAATAAGTCAATATGGTTTTCATTAATCAGGGTTTGTGCTCCAGGAGAAAGCTTTTCTTAGAAATGAATCTGTAAATAAATGAGGTCCAACTTGTAGAAAGCTGACAAGAAGGATGGCAGCATAAGTACCTCCGTGGTCAGAAAGCTGTCTAGCCCACCAAAATCGACCCTTGGGTTTACAGCTGCGAGCCTCATTGACAAGTACTGGACCAACCACAATGGCATAACAGTAGTGAGATTAGAAGAAAGATAATGCGTGCTATGTTGGCTAAATGAAAAGGGCTTTTCAGCTTTTCAGGCTGTACAAGGGATATCAACAGTTACCTCAACTTGCCTTTGGAGAGACTGAACATGATTGATGATCTCATCTAGCACCAGTGCTGTTCCTGATACCTGATACATCCCAAAAAGCAAACAGCAGCCATTAATTAGCTAATTTGTTTTCCTCAGCTCTTGCTATCTCATTTTGAGATTTTAAAGAAAGAAAATCAAATGGAAAACTGCCTACAGTTTCATTCCAAATTTGGAATAGATATTGAAAGTAACACTATTTCACAAGAACAATTGAAAAGGTTGGGAGTGGGGGTAGCATCATCAACAAGACCAATTCATGCATGAATAAGCAGCAGCAAGCTTGACTGCAGAACATTGTTCATTGCTTCATAACAGTGAATTACTGTTCTAGAACAATTCGTGCATGAATAAGCGGTAACAAGCTTGACTGCAGAACATTATTGTTCATTGCTTCATAACAGTGAATTACTGTTCTATTTTGTAGCCGGTCCAGAGATACTATTGTAGTACGTACAACAAAGCTACCAGTCAGCATTGGCAACCCCTGCACGTATGTTGAAGGCAACACGAAACCTCACAGCGAATTGACCTACACCACCACTCTTCCATAGTGATTGACATCTCCAGAGTCCAGACCAAAAGCTGCCGCTGTCCTTGCAATGAAACTAATGGTCAAACCACCGCAGCAGCAATGGCACACACCAACCATTCCTCATAAACTCCACACACCAACAAAGACACAACCATCGGCCATTCCTCCCCCGCAATGGTGCCTCCATCCAGCCACCACGTCCACGCACGCACGCAGCCTTGCCTCCACATCCCCACACCACACCCAAAGATGCCGACCCATAATCCGTAACATTATTGCGAGCGCAGCAGCGCAGCGCAGAAGAGGATAGCAACATTCCATCAGGATAGGAGGATGGAAGTGTCGTGGCCTCGACCAAGCCAGAGCCAGCCCCCCATTAAGCTACCCGCCCCCGGCACCTTTCAAAGCGGCTGCTACATTCTGCCCAGACAATCACACCCAAGGCCCAGTTAGGTACGCCGGATCACGATGCATCCCCTATCTATCTATCATCCACAACGGCCGGCCGGCCACGACACCCCCCATTCCCATCCCACCCCCGTCGTGCAACACGACCCATATGGACGTGTCGGGCGCACGGTGCCGGAATAATCAGGCACCGCCACGTTTCGGAACGCACTGCATTTAAGGTCTTTCCCGTGTTGATATATGGTTTGTTTTCGCAACCAGCGAGGCAAACAGACGGACTACGCTGCACGGCCACGGCAACGAGTGGGGGTCTGTCTAGCTAGCATTTTCGACTGCAGTGCGTTGCACAGTTAGGCGCCGAGCAAAGGGAGGAGGACCATTCGGAAATGGCCTCTCAAAGGCGCGTAGGAGAACCGGAATTTACACGACGCTAGGCGACATGTTGCGTAGTTTAGGCTTCCTTCCAAAGACGATGCTCAGGACTGAAATTGAAGGTGGGGCGTGCGAAATGCAGATAGGAGTAAAGATGAGGGGGAAGGAATAGATGGTGAGAAAATGCAGGCACACCTTACTGCAGCCGGGGACCAGCTCCTTGAGCAGCTCCATCCTCGCATTGACCTTCTCGCGTCTCGCCTGATGAGTGGAAATTTTTTAAAAGTCGGAAAAGATAATCAGCTTTTTGATGAGACTGGAGAAGAAGAATGGAAGCGAATAATTAAGTGATTAGCGGCGAAAGCGACCCTGAAAAGGGGTCTAGCGGCGACGTCACCGCGTCCTAATCACCCAATCATTGGCATAAACCCTCACGGCAGACCGACCGAATCTCTAATCCTCGCTCCCATGAGCTTGGCTTAAGCTTAAGCTCAGCGAGCGTTGCGATTAGCGGCGAGGCGAAGCGGACTCACCCGCTCGGCGAGGCTGTGGCTGTCCGTGGCCTGGCCCCGCCTGGCCCGCACGTGCACGTACGCCGGCTTCTCGTCGTCGCCGTCGCCGCCCGCGGGCTTCTCCTCCGCCGTCTTCCCCTTCTTCGCCGCCTTCCCCTGCGGCCACACAGAGCAATCAGAACTCA